TGCGGATCCGCGCGCCCAAACAAAAGGGCTGTCGCGAACCACTTGATGCGCTTTGTCGCCGTGAATCAAGTCGTCAACGCCGCGGCTCCCACTCCTGCCCCGCGCTCCGGGCGCGCGCGTATACGTGCGCCGCGGGCGGGCTTGTCGGAGAGCGGATCTCCTCTGCATCGAGACGGCAGTACATGGCCATATCACAGTCGAAAGATTTGTAACGGTTCACACACACACACACGCGCACACACACACACATCGTGCAGTGCACTTGGCTGTAGGTAGATAATTGCAGTAATTAAGGCCTTGCAGCGCGCATATATGGTACTCATATTTTCACTGCAAGTACTACACTGGGCGCGCGCGGGCACCGCGACCAATACTACTTGAGCAACAACTGTAAGGACCCTAATCTAATTGCGACCTGCGAAGCAGTGTCGCTGGACAAGATTGCAGACGGCTCGCTGGGCAACAAATTCTGCTCTAATTATTTTGGGCGCACCACGCCACATAACTCATATGTACCATGACGGCGCGGGCGCACCGCCGCGCAAGGATTTTACTTGAACGCCGCCGCCGCTTCCACTTGAGATACGTCAGTCCAATGTGATGCAGTGCAGCACATTGTGCCGCCACCACGTCCTGACCCGCTTTGACCCGCCGCGCGCCACAAAAGTTGCGGGTGTGTGTCGTAGCATGGTGGTGGTGACGGTGGTGACCTTTCAAAGTTTGCGTCCGCGCGAGAAAAAGAAAGTATGTAAGCTTGTGCTGTGAGTAAACTAAACTTGACACACATCTTACTCGGAGTATGGCGGGAGCAGCGGGGGAGGAAGGGTGAGGGTGAGCGCGGGGCTCGGGCAATACAGGCCATGACACTGTCGAGGACAATAGAGCCGGACAGAAAACAAAATAAAAATATTTCTTTTTGCGCACGTTGTCATATAAGTCGAGGTCCAAAGTGGATTATTGGGGACACAGATGCATAAATAACGTTCAATAGACATCGTGTTTGTGTGTGTGGTGAGGGGGGAGAGGGCTTGTCTTTGAGGGAGCACACACGACGCGACGCAGCCGCCGCCGGTGCGTTTTTCACCCGCAGTCCGGCGCCCCGCGGCGGGCGTCCTGACCCCAGTGAGCCGCCGCACTCATTGCTGTGCGCATTGCTTCCTTGTGCCCTTCAAGGATAATGGCCAGGGCGGGCGCCAGTGAGAAACGACACAACACGCGGGGGGTCACCACCTGGGGGGTCAAGGGTCACACGGGCGAGCAACGGCAAGGATTCAAAGAGGAAAGGAGAGAGGGGGGGGGATATTCACGGTATTTTACAAGGAAACGCGCTTGACACCCTGTCCGCTGTAATCAAAGAAGCTGTCCAGCAGTGCCGGGAGGCACCGGGCGCGGGGGGCGCGGGCGTCATGTCACGCTGATGAAAAGTGGAAAAGGCGTAAGTCCAATGAAAAGTCCGTGGACTTACGCCCTTTTCACTTTTCACCAGTGATGTATCAACCACCACGCCAGACGCAGCGTTTCGCGGAGTGCGACCCGCCACCCGCCAGACAATGCGCCGCCGCGCCCTCGATCGGACAGTCAAACACTCCAACTCCACACCGCGCTGGCCCGGCACACCCCGCTGCTGAGTGAACAAATACGGCGGCTTTGTTTCTTGTTGGTAAACAGAGGCGCCCGTAGCGTGAAAACGATCAGAACGCCGGGATTGCAGTTTGTTGCGTGGGGCGGGTGCGGGCGGGGCGCGGGCGGGGTGCTTGCAAGCAGCGGCGGCGCGGTGCCGGTCAGCAGCAGCGTGTCCGGCGGAGCGCGATGCGTTTGCACACAGCGGCCCGCCCCGCCCCGCCGCGCCGGCCGGGGAGCAGCGTTGCCTGCCCCTCGCTCGCGACAGTTTGGCCCGGGCGCCCGGCCCATTCCGAATCGGTTCACATGCAAATGTGTGCGCTACGTGCTTATCGGCTCACCTGTCAGAGGCTTCCCCGAGCTCGCCCCCCCAATCCCACACGCAAGTTTGCAGGGGTGGGACTTCGCCTCTCCGAACCCGCCGCGCGCTCAAACCATCATGGGTTACACCATTTTTTTTTGCCGTAATTCCTAGGCTGGAAGGCCTAAAAGGTTTCCGTAAAA